GTCATTGTTGTTAAGATGACTATCGCTGAAATATATGTCGAAATAATTACGATTTAGGATTGAGTGGTTTCTTCTGCTATAGCGGCTAACTTCCAATCAACTTTATTAGTCATTACTGGCAATATTGTCAAAACTAGGTTTTCACTGTTCAGGAAGTTTAGCAAAACGTTTTACTATTTATTTCGTATATACTCAAACTTTTTCAGATTTCTGCATTGTACTCAGTTTTAAAATGAGGAGAGGTGAGTTAGGCAAGCCCAATAAGTCATGCTTTTTCTCTCTTAACTACATTCTTTTTTTCTAGTACAATAATAAACCGGCTCCACGGGACTCGATCTCATCACAACTCATTGTTTCACCCTCTCCAAGGGTTTTGATGACTCCTGTTACCTCGAAAGGGGAACGCTCGTTACAGAATGACGGCTGCTTCGATGCCCCGAGTGAGGCAACCCAGTATCGCCAAGCGGCATGCGACTACTTGGTTGCCCTTCTTCGCATATTGCCCAGTTTACTGGAGGCAAGAGATCAACAGATGCTCAACGAAGAGATAATGGAATTTGCCTCTAGCTACTGTTCAGGTTGGCAGATAACTTTTGGACGGCCCTTTAGTTCACTTTTTTGGGTTCGGGGTAGAGGCTAGCCCAACAAGCCTACACATTCGCTACCACCCTTTTTGTGGAGTGGAGCGACTTTAATTTTCTTTTGTTAGTCTTTCAAAATATGAAATTTGCCATCCTCATCTACCCTTACTTTCCATGCCCTTGCTGCAAGCTTTGGTATTTTTGATGCTAGCAGGGCAAGGAAAAGTGTATACATAATATTTATGTTGTAAGTTTGACTATGATTCTTGAGTAAAAGCCCGATTCACCTCAGGTCTATTAAGTATGAATAGTTGAATTTTCTACAAGGAAGTGAATAGAAGGCGTCACACAATTGGCCTAGCTTTGCAACAATTTTATTCCTTTAGCCTGGATTATAGTTTAGACCTCAACTTGGCTCTCATAAACACACTGAAAATATTCGAAACCGAGTAGCAAATGTCACACAGCAACGTCACCACTGCACAACGCACGGCCTCATGTGCTAATAGTTACAGGTCACATGTAATTTTCAAGGCAAGCGGGGACCTGGGTTCATTTGGAAGAGTTATATTCGCTGCAACATTCGATAACACTATCCCCAGATCGTGTCTGAGAATTAGGGCCACTTTGGGCCTTTCCTCCTTATTTCATTGCTGCAAATTCAGACATCAAATCAGTTTCACTCTATTTTCTTGAAGGTGATGAAGGTCTGGTAGTTAACTTTAATCCCTGTGATATGAGGTAGTCTCATGTTTCCAATCAATTTCACATCGTCCTACTTCCCAAAAGGTAATCTCATCCAGGGTGGACTGCAGTTTCGATCTCGCAGTTCCGATCAGCACCCTTAGCGGCTCTCGAACCCGGGTTGTAGTGGTGCAGCATATGGTGTCGACACGCCAATCACTACGCAGCATTGTCACGAGTGCCCTTGGGTCACAAGCCAGAAAAGAATTTCAAGAAAGCCTATGGCTTTTCCATATCACGCATATCGAGACTATATAGAGCACTAACCGGTTCAAGTCCCGCTGGAGGTGTTGATGAAGCCTAGGCGAGGTCGAAATTATAGTCCA